AAGAACTTGTGGACGGGTTTCCACGAGTAAGGGAACTTATTGCAAACCTGAAGGAAAAAWTCGTGAGAGAGATCAAAGTCGCAGTTTCTTAGGTGAGAATGAAGCTTTGGTTCGTCTGAATTTTGTTGTTGATAAAGAATCGTGCAGACTCGGAGGAGTTGATAAGGGTTGACAGGTGAGCTGGGTTTAGAGAATTGAGAAAGGTCTGAATCGGTTACGAAGGTTCGACAGTGGAGGTGATATTGGAAAATGCAGATAGTTCTGTTGATCGATAGTCTTCTAGCCATTTTGAATCAGGTTTCAGGAACGAGTGTAAATGTAGCAACTGATAAACTGTTGGTGTTGCACAGAAAATTGAGAAAGGTTGGGGAAATAATTCAAAAAAATCGAATAAAAAACTGGAGATGCAGGGGATCGAACCCTGTACCTCTCGCATGCAAAACCAACAAAACCACAAAACACAAACACATTACAGAAATAAATATATATGATAGAAGAAGAATCGAAACCCTACCGGAGCCTCGGATGCCAAGCCTCTCCGTGTCTATCGCTAAGAAAGGAGAAGCAAAATCTGTGTTTCTCACTGGAGGCTCATGACAAGAACAGAGGACAAGAGAAAAACCAAAAACAGTACCCCGAAACGAAGAAGCCAAAGAAGAGATTCGTGCGTACAGATTCTCCCGCCAGAAAGCCTTACGAAGCTCTCAAACTCGCCGGCGGTAGCAGTGGCAAGGCCGGAAATTTTCACCAGAGAAAAAATAAGACCAGAAGAGAGAGTGTTTTTCTCCTCTTAGGTACGTCCTTCGCAGTCTATCGAGCGTCGAACGGTCGAAGTGAGAGTCTCGCCTTCGCTCCTTTGAAAAGCCGCGCGACTCGGTGGTCCCCACTTCCCTTTTCTATTGGCCTTCCAGGGAATCCTTGTATTCTCCACGTGGCTATATTTTATTGGCTCCAGGTGCGGGCCAGCCCGGCCCGTCGGGCTACCCAATAACTCTTTAATAGGTCTAGTCATATTATAATATTTATAAAAAATATATAATATAACATAAATAACATATATATATACTTTGTTTACAAAATACATATATTTAAATATATACAAGCCGGTTGGGCTCGGGCCAGGCTTAAAGTATTAGGCCCATGCCCGGCCCTGAAAATTTCAGGCCTAATGAGGTCCCAAACCCTGACCCAGCCCTGAACATAAAACCTAGGTCCACGTTTAGAATTTTTGGGTTGGGCTCATTTCCCTAATGATTTTTTCCCGCGGGAACGGAGATTGGGAAATTTTCATCTCCGTTAGCGGAGATGAGGAGAGCACTCCCCGACCCATAGGGACCCCGATTCTTACCCCGTGGGATCTTCACTAATATATGTATATGTATGTATACATTATATATGTATATATATACACATACATCTATATATTAATATTTTTAAAAATATGGTTGAATATATTTGAATCATTTCTAATGGGATTGTAAATTTTAATTATTTTATTTTTATTTTTTTAGATAAAATAAAAAACAAAAACAAAATGGTTAACATTATAAAAAATCATAGGGAATGGGGATAACCATGGGGATGGGGATGGGGATGGGGATAACTTTATCCCCGTTAGTAGGGATGGGGATGGGGAGAGGCCTCCCTTGCCCCATTGCCATTCCTACCCCTAATCTCATGGATAGAGTGTAGGTAGCATCAACCCACCAATCACTGCTTCTATCAAAGGTTTAAAATTTCGACATGATATCAGAGCATATTGTAACGGACCGGTGGCCATTGATATGTCATTTTAAGGGTTTTTTGAAAAACCAATGTTTTAAAATAAAAAATTAAAATTATTTTATATGCCTTTGCTTCAAAGTATTGATACACCTGATACTCAATTTTTAAATATTGAACATTTGTGACTGAACTGGATGGTCAGGCCAGAAAAATCAGGAACCGCTCACCATTTTACCCCGAAGCCACTTTTTGGCCAAAAGCTGTTGATTTGGTTAACAAACCGTTAACCCGTGTGGTTGAACCGGCAAATCATCGATCCAAACAATAGTTTTTGGCTGTTTTGTGTTTTTAATTTTTTAAGGTTTTTTAATTTTTTTTGTCAGAACGGGCTGTCCGTTTAGACTGAATGGTCGGACCATTCAACCCAAGAACCAAACTCTAAAACGGTTCCCTATCTAGTCAGGTTTTAAAAACCTTGATTTAAATCAATTAAAAATCTCTAAATATTATTATTTCATGTATCAAAGACAATGAAAATCGATATATATGATAGCACCAATAAGTTGCCATATTTTGAACCTTTCGCATATAGGTAGGTTTGATGAAATCAACATTAACAAATTCAATTGTTGAATTGGGGCGGAATCTAGACTTTCCAAACCATCCTTTTTTGTCTTTATCCCAGGACTAAGAATGGTTATGGGATATTCTCACAACAAAATCTGCCCCAACGCGATTCTAACATGATTAGTCCATATATCTCACCATAAAACTAGGATCCACCATATGGACACAAATATATACTACTTATAAAAGAGCAAATGCCCATTTACTTTTGTGATTTTTATTGGATGTTTTCTGTCATCTTTATCAAAAAAATACAATGAACATAGAGAGAACATATATGCCATTTACTCTCACTTCAAATTTTAGAAACTGTCCACTTATAAACGTTCAGAAACAGCCCATAAATTATAGATATGTTAAAACATTTTTTGACCCATCCACCCTCACCCATTCCATGACTTTGTGCAAAAAACTTTAACCACTTTTATATTTTGGTAAAGAGTTTTGCATTTATGTCCACCCCACACAGCTTGCTTTACAGAGAATCTGCTTGCTTGTCCAACAATCCAAACAAAATTTATTAAAGACTATGACTAGCTGATCAATCTGTCCGACCTTTATTCCTAGATGGATGCATGGAACTATGGCTGCTAGCCCCAAAGGTTAGGTCATCCATCACAATCTCTAAGTACAAATACAGATTCATCCATCCTCAATGTGACAAGTACATGAGAAAAAGATGCACAAAGAAAATTTTGGTAAAGAGTAATCACCATCTACCCATTCATTGAAAGCAGACCCATATATATATGTATATATTTCATTTTATTAACTTTTATATACGCAAACAGTTATCTATAAAATATAAATTATTCAAAATTGATGAATTCATACAATCTAAGGATAAAGGTCCATTATTATTTATTGCTACATGTGTAATTTTCTTCTGAAGTGTAAGCCATGCTTATTGGCTGGTCATATGTCATCAATCTTTTTGGATAAGAGAAAAAAGATGGTTTGGAACGAACCAGGTGGTCTTTATCAAAATTCACCAGTGGATTTTGATGAATTAAAAATATATCTGAGTTCCTTGTAGATAGTGTAATGGAATGCTTCTTGTATCAAATTCC